TGGCCTCTCAGGGCCACCGTATGTTTTACTATTTTATAGTGCAGAACAAAACTGAAGACAGTCTTTCAATTATCTAAATAAACAAACAGAAACAAAAAACTGAAAACATTTTCAAATATTTCAGAAGAAGCAGCTTTAATAATTCATCCACACTTCAATTGTCTGTCACAGAAAACCTAATGATGAACTAATTTTACAACAGAACTTAGGCAGAATTCACATTTAGTAAAAAAGTGTCTTCTAAATGGTGCAAGTAAACACTTCTCTGAAATATTAGTTAACATATTGTGGGCAGGCCTGGTCTGGGACTAAAACCATGGGTCATCTGTGGCAGGGTCCTTCCAGTTTTATCTTGCTTTATCTTTTCCAGCACAGCTAATGCAACACTCAGCAGATCGAAGTGCACCTGTATCAATTATATAACCACAGAAAGCCTACTCAGGCCACAGGTCACTTCTCTGCAGCCCTGGAACAGACAGGTAGAAATGTAATAATTTCATTGTGTAATATTGCGGCACAGTAAAAAACAATAAATGACATAAACTTTGTAAAGTTTCCGTAGCCAGCTGGAGGTTTGTAAAAATCATGTACAGCCTGATAATAACAGTGTGCAAATATTTACATATTTACAAGCTTAAAAACATATATTATATGTTATAATACATTATATATTGATAACCATAGATATTTCCTTTTCTTTTTTTCTGTTTTTTTTAAATGTAGACTTCCCTACAGAACAGTATGACTAGGCTTGGGTGTCCATTACCCAAACACAGGCTAAATGAGTAATGTCCTACAACTGCAGATGAAAAGATAGATTTTTTTAAATTTTTGTTACCAAAATCTTGATCTTTAACAAAACTGAACCAAACACCTTACCTGACCCTAAATAAAGTTATGTGTTATAGTAGTTCCCACAGACAGAGGACAGGGACAAGTAACACATGCTGTCATGTGAAAAAAACAAACAGTATATCCTCCTTCACTTGTACATTTTTGAAGTTGAGGTCATACCACACAACATATTAGACCATGTCAAAAACCTGAACCAAAATAGGGAAGCAGTGTGGGAATAACTTCACACCATGATTCATCTTTAGCAGCCATAAGTTTAAGTAATTATGATGTAATGAGAGACCTTGTCTGTTTCTCTCTTGTAGATGAACTCTTTTTTTTTTTTATCACAGGCCATTTGTTTATGTACAGCTCTCTTAATGCCTTGGCAGAGCAACAAGCCTCACTTTGACTTTTTTCTTTTTCAGGTATTGGGTTATATTTGCTGGTGTGCTCAGGATCACTGACATGTTCCATGATGTAGTTTTGGCAAAAATCCAGCTGCCAGACAAACTTGGATCTCACAGAGGAGTTCATGATCAGCTCATTTTTTTCACTCTACTATTTACTTGGTTTAGGCTTTACAACTCTTTCCAGATTAATGGGGGGCATTATTTGCTTCTTTACGAGCATTGCTGATATCTTTCCTCCTTGGCATTGTGCACTGCTTCTGCACTTTTGGCATTTTGTAAAATAAATAATGGTTCAATGTAACATGTCATGGATTATTGTCATCTGAGACTGTAATTAAATAATTTTCAAAACGGGTAGGAATCCAATTTAAAGTGCAATGTAAATACCACTGAAGTCAGGTTTCTGTCTTTGTATGTAGTTCATGCATTTATTTTTGTTTAATGTATTCATTT